AAATTGTGAAAGTTGATGTTAGTGATTATAAATAGTAAAGTGCAGTATAATTGAATTGTGAATTACTGAGAAAATAAAGGACATTAGATAGAATCTTTATAACGAAAGAAACTGCAAATTAAGTTGGCGAGTTTTTATTTAACAATCCAGAGATCGTACCCGAAGGATCTAGAAAATAATCGAGGTCGATTTAGTAAAATCGTAACAATATTAATGAAAAAATGCAGATATATTTCAAAGTACAAAAATTTTTGAAAAGCAAATTGCCGACGGCAGTTATGTTATTTTGGAGGTGCATATTTGTGTTCATAAATATCTTGATTGAGGACAGGACAGCATACATATGTTCATTAACACATTAAATCATTTATTAAAATTTTATTTTGAATTGAGAGAACTTAATAAAAAAATAATAAAATATTTGCTTAAAGTAGCTACATTTCTACCCCTTCATAATTTGCAATTTGTTTTCATCGCCGAAAAAAGCAAACATCCAAAGCGAATTTATCTTATATTTCCCCATCTATTCATATTGGTCGACGAAAAATGGTGTGAAGAGGACACGAAACCCTGAAAACTTTCTACCGCATTTGCACAAAAACCGTATGAGTCTTGTCGCTTCTTATTCATATACGTTCTTTGGTTATAACCATCTTCTTTTCGTCTGACATTCGTATTTGGCAATTTCACAATAGTACTTCAGCAGCAAGCCGGATTTTCAAGCGCGTGTAGTCGGTATGTAAAGTAGATCCAAGGCGAATTCCTAATTTAGTAGAATTCAAAGCGAGGCTTTTTATGTAAATTTGCCTTGGTTCAGAGCAAAATGTCAATTGTTTTTCGATGGCAAATTCTTCTGCTACTGTAAATTTTTTGTGTGATAAGAAATAAAAAAAATAGTAAAATAATATTATTGAGTAAACTGTGAACGTTCAAGCAGTATTGTAAGAGCTTCATAATTTATATTCTATATAAAAGATTTTTTTTACCGAACTAGATTTCGTTTGTGATAGAAGTATGCAAGATAAAGGGCGCATTGCAAACTATGAAAATTCTGTTCATAACTTTGAGGTGAGGAACAGTATTTCCCTAAAAATTACAAGTGTAATTCTAGTTTGTGGTCTTTTCTCAGAATATCACGAACTCCAAAGTCTGTGACAATTTTCCAGCAGGAAATGCTTGCAGTTCACACCAAATAAAACATAGTGTAAAAAATGTTGTTTGGAAGTCTGAAGATTTTATAAATATTTGTGTGATTAGTGGAGAAGGCGATATAAATCGAGTACGATTGAGCGATACCGAAAGTGAATTTGCTGGATTTGAGTCACTAAATAATTCAGGAGATAACTGCTCCGAAAAACACAGTTTATTGAAATATAGCGTTAAAAGTACCCAATCAGTTGGGTTGAATCTTATAAAAATGAAGAATAGAGAATTCCAAAAACATCCGAAAAGCAATACTCTACCTACCTTGAACGCTAAACGTGTTAGAGAAGCAAGGAGCTTGCATAGAGGGACTCAATCTGCAGCTGAAAAACGTAGGAAGATGATAAAGGGGAAAAATGAACTAGGTAAGTTGTTTTGTCTAGTAGCTACCTACAGGTGCAACATTGTTTTAAAACACAATTAAGTAAAGTTGGAGGTAGGCTATCTCTTGATATGCATACCAGAATATGTAAAAAAACTCATATTTTTCTTATTCCTTCGTTCCCTCTGCTGGGAATGTCAACCTCTAAATTAGGTTTTTGGGTTTCTTTTATTTAAATAAGCTTCTTAGGCGAGGTTCGCTACATTACTTCTGGTGTTGACCTACACTTTCACAGATAAATTTTATTTAAACAATTTTCTCGCATTCGTTTTTTTGTCGCAATTGTTATTGCATGTATTCTACTAAAAATAACGTATTTACCGGCACTAAGTAATCGTTGTGTTCTCCACTCCTTTTCCCTCCAACCAAGTTTCGGCAGTCGAAGTTTTCCTCTGTAAATTTTGTCTAATAAAACTCCATTTACATTGGTTTTGTTGATCACTGTATAATATTGTTTGGAGCATTAATAATATCTGATTAATGGTCGACCTTACAGGTATTATTAACCTACACTAATTGATTCGTGTATGAATAAGACAGAAAGATTAGACACTTGCCATGCTTAAAAAGCGCAGCCACCAACTCCGGGTGGTTCATTTTCTCTGGAATTATGAAGCCTGGAGGATTTTACCTAAAAAATTAATTATGTTTTCATCGAAAGGTATGAATGTTTTCTTTTTTAAAAAAGTTTTAAAGTTACATTTTATTGTATTTCAATAATGGGCTTTTTAATTGTTGTGGATTTGTGAAAAAACTATAAAAAATCAGTGTTTTGTTCGAATTATGGGAAAAAATCCAAACGTAGTAAGAAATGTTATTAAGGGCGATCGAGTAATTTCTAAGGAGAAATTGAGCATGTAACGTAACGTTACTCAAAGCAAAGATCAAACCCAGAATGATGGTAATTGACGAAGGGTTGTTTTTTTTTTTTTAGAAAAAGATCCGACTGTCGCGGGACCTTTTGGATTTTAGTCGCCTCTTTTGACAAGTATGCCATATCTCGGCTAAATTCTGGAGCCCAAAATCCGTAATTCGGGGATTATTTTACGGTTACAATAACAATAACAACAGGATCGCAAATTTGGTGTCACATTTGTGATGAGAGAAAAACTCCGTCGCCTAGTACTGGCATTCAGCCCGGCGGATAAACTGCGCACCACAATTCGCTTCAAAAAGGAATTTTTTAACGGAAGAGAGGGAAATATTGACTAAAGATGACTTTTATGAGCTCATGGGGCGAACGCAAATTTAACCTCTCCCACGAAACATCCCCAAATACATTGAAGCTTATCGAATTCGTCGGGGCACGAAGTATGGTTGTCTGTAGTAGAGTCCAGCACAAGAAAGTACATCAATCAAGCTACTTGGCTGTCCATGATCGAAAACCACAAAATCAGATATATCATTTTGTGATTGACGTGCGTACACTTTGGGACCAAAATATATGATGTAGTAACCGACGCCCAGAGTATACTGAGTTTATGGAGGAAACACTTCTAGAGACTGCTGTATGACAGTGAAAATTAAACAACTTCATATGGTGAACCCGAAACCCCAACCGATGACCATGAATTAACGTTCCATTACCCGACTATGGCGAGATTTCCGTGACAGATAATGACTTCTAAAGTCTCCTCCCCATTCCTTCGAGTGTATTTCTGACATGAAATAAACTGAGACGGCTTAGAATAAACTGTAGGTTCCTCCTTCTCCATCATTTTTTTTTTAATAAAACTTATTATGCTATTTCTCACATAACTGCATCACTTTGACTGTGAGCCAATGTATATTATGAAATTCAAAAAATCTAAGATTTTGGGGTCCTTAAAATTAATAGGATTGAATAGAATCGAAAATAGATAGGAACTGAATGGAACGCCGAATACTAAAAAAATATAACGAATTCCAGATATCTTCGGTTTGTTAGATGCTGGGAAAAGATGTGGGTTCTTGTTGTCTTTCTCTAATGTTCGCTTCTCTCCGGCAACGATAAGCTTTTTGTACCACCGTCACTTGAGCATGGTAGCACAGCAAGACGCCATTACTACCGAAGATAGACCGTATTCGGGAGACTTCGGTAGATTTGATTAGGGGCGCCTTCCTCCAGGTCTAGATTTATAATCACCTCTTTATCTTGGAATGCGAATTTAGACCCACTAAACCTTACTCATACAAAAAATAAATAATTCATCATTATGAATATACAATACAAGTTGAACACCTGAAACTTAATCCTGCTTATACATCATTTAACGCCGGAAAGTATACAGGATTCCAAAACATATCACTAACCACTCTGTTAGGAAAATAGGGGTAAATTAGTAGTTGTTGGTTAATAATGAATTGAATAATACAACAAAGTCAGGATCCGTTGGCTCGATCCCTGCCATAAAAAGTCTGATGCGGTGCCTGAAGGACCCTGGTCCGACGGACTACTTCTCCGTGTGCCAAAAAAGACTCCACCAGTCCTCCATCTCGGTTAGGTGCAACTAGTGCACCTGCTCAGGCATTTAGACCCACAGGTAGTGGACCGCAATTTATGTGGATCCATGCTGCCAGCGCCCAAGCGCGCCCCAGCTTCCACGGCAGTGCCTTTAGCACCTTTACCCACTTTGGGTAACCAACAGACCCCTAAGGTCTCACGGAGCTCCCCGCAGCATGAATCTCACCAACAACGTACAGTAGCGTCTCATCGACGGCGACATCGAGCACATGGATACTACCCAACTCTCACGACAGCCGGTTCTACGCACCGGAGTTGACCCGGATTTTATCCGGCCAAGGGCTGTCACCCTTTCGGAGACCTAACCCCGTTTAGGTCTACAGGTAACCTTAGTCTAAGTACGTCAACGGAGCAACACCTCGCAGCTGGATTGCTCCAAATCCTTCTGATCAGGGCTGGTGTAGAAACCAACCCTGGACCGACGGATTACTTCTGCTGCGTGTGTCAAAGAAGACTCCACCATTCATCCACCTCGGTTAGATGTACCCAGTGCAAGGGCTGGAGTCATCTTAAGACCTGCTCAGGCCTTAAGACCCACAGGGAATGGACCACAAGTTATGTGGCCCCATGCTGCCAGCGTCCAACCGCCCCCTCAGCCTCCACGGCAGTGCCTTCAGCACACATACCCACTTTGGGTAATCTGCAGATCTCCACGGTCTTACGGAGCTCCCCGCAGCATGATTGCCCCCAACTCCACCCCCATCCCCACCCACAACCAACTCCTCATCCTCCTCCCGTGCGAGGGCTACCCAGCAGCTCCTAGTCCCCCGCACTGTCTGTTCCGTGTGTCAGACCATAGTGCGTCGGAACGTGACCTCAGTCAGATGCAATTTTTGCTCTGGCTGGTGTCACTTTCGGACGTGCTCTGGCCTGCGCACCACCCGTGAGTGGAGCGATGCGTACGTTGCCCCATGCTGTAGGAGTCTGCCCCCGCATGTCTCTACAAACCGTCCGCCAATCAACACCAATGTGCGGAACCAACTCTCGCGGGTAGTACAGCAGCAAAACACACCATCCACGCATCACTCCCTCACTCCCCGAATCACGAACGTTTCCCCGAGACAGACCCGACTTCTACAATTCAACTGCAACGGACTCCAGGGAAAGATTGACGAGATAGTCGGCTATATGAGCCGGGAGCTCCTGTCGATTGCTGCGATCCAGGAAACCAAGTTGACCGCCCGATCAGATCTCCTGAACAGGGCCGGATACAACATAATCCGCAAGGATCGCGAGCGAGACCATGGTGGGGGCTTAGCGTTCATCCTGCACANGTGCCTAAGCGAGGTTAGTGAACCGCTACAACAACAACAACATGGATACTACCCTAGAAAGTCAGAGCATAGCTATCAGGTCAGGTGATGGCGAGCTCGCGGTATTTAATATATATATTCCTCCAGTTACAAGTTGCCCAGTGGGATACACTCGGCGCTACTCAGGGGTGAAAACCGTTTGGTTTTAGGCGACTTTTAAGTTTGATAAACAGATTAGGTTGGCGGTCTGTACTAATACTAGCATCGGACCACTTACCCATACAAATCTCGCTTGACAGGCCTCCCAACTTTGTTTCCCGGACGTCGTGACCGCTGCCGTCCGCTTCTTCCTGGCTGGCCGAATTATGGAAATCCAACCTTTTTCGACAGAAGCGGCGGTACTAGCATCGAAGCGATATCCTTCAAAATTCGGATCCCGGGAATCCCTTAATCAGGGATTTAAACGCGGAGATTTGCAGAGCAGTTAACAATCACAAGCGGATAAAGTGAGAGGGACACTTAAGGACCTGCAACCTCTCCTCTGGTGCAACTTGGCTACAGTCAAGTCGTTGTATAACCCGACGAGGCGCGATGACCGCTGATGCTCAGACATCTTGGACTAGCGGGAGCAGAATTTCTCACGAAGATACTCAATTTGTCATTGACTACCCTAATGATACATGACGTGTGGAAAACGGACAGGGTGGTCCCGCTACTCAAACCAACAAAGCAAAGTCTTATCGGCCGATAACATCTCCTCTCCTCAGTAGCCAAAACACTTGAGAACTTACTGCTCCCAATCTTTACTCGCCATCTGCGTCCAGCAGCACCCAGATAGTCAATGGCCTTAACCAAAATCGACCCTGGGCGCGAACTGTCCTGGTAGCACTGGATTTGTCAAAAACTTTTGACACAGTCAATCATTCAGTGCTACTAACGGACATTGATGAATCCTCATTGCCGGGGTTGCAGAGGTGGGTCATGGGCTACCTGAGTGGTTGACTACCATCGGTCCGAGGTGAAACATCGAAATCCAGAAAATTAAATAGGGGGCTTCGCAGGGTGGTGTCCTCTCCCTGCTGCTGTATAATTTTTATATTTCCAAGCCCCTCCCTAACCTCGTATGTCGATTATTGTACGATAATGGCGTCTGGCCAGTATATTGATGACCTCTGTTCGAAAGTGAACTGAACCTTGCCGATCTTTCTCACTGCACGACAATTGAAA